CCTACCCCTTTCTAAAAAAAAAAAAAAAAAAGGGAAAAAAAAATTCAATAATTCAAATGTATACTCTTTTCTTTCCCACACTGTCCCCTTTGGCAAAGTCTTTGTCATTCTTCTGAGACATTCCAACAAACTCCCAACCTCTGACCCTGGGTCATTCTCAATAATGATTTTGTACCCAACAAATCTAAAGCCACGACAACTACAGCAATAACAACACAACCTATCTCTCCTTGAACACCTCTAATGACTCCTGGCTTGCAGAATAACTACAACATTTTTCACATAGGTATTTGAGAATCTCCACAAAATTGTCCTCATGGGGTTCTCCTTTGCTGAAACTCTGGACTCTGAGGAGAAAAACCTAGGACAATGACTGGCACAGGGTAAGCACTATATACTATATATGGTATATAATTATATACTACATTTGGTATATAATACTACATTAGAATCCTCCAGAAAGCCCTTGGCCTTCATGAGCAAACTAGTATCTCCAGACCTCTCACAAAGATCAGTCCCAGTAGAAGCTCAGGGGAGCACACTGGACATTGCTTCCACAATCCTTTTCCCATAACTCTGCAGCCACACCTGCCAGTTTAGTCTTGTTAGAAATTCAGGACTGTGGTTTCCACTGGAATTTTTCAGGCCAGAGTTTTTGCCTCAAGTTATATAGCTAATTTGGAGGAGAGACCTGTATCTGTTTATCTAGGGGGGAGGGGAGAGGAGAAGTGGGGAGGGTTGAATTAATGAAACCAGAAGAAAAACTCAATTGAGGACAGCAGCCATGAGGAAAGTCTGATTTTGGTCAAGTTTTTATCATGTGTGAGATCCTCGAGATTACTCCATCCTTTAGCGTCATCTATAAAGCTACAGTGACTGGGGTGTGGCTTTAATCACAGAAAACCCATAGGCATTGTGGGTTATGGTTTATCAGATTGCACTTGCCTAAATAAGGTCAGCCTCTGATGTTTTTAGACAATGCAACAAGCATTTCCTAACTCCGCACTGAGACAGCTAAGAGATCTGTGTTACTTTCCTCACATATAAAAATAATTTTCAACAAAAATCATGACATAAATCGTTTATTTTCTCCATTGATTGGAAGTACCCACTTGAAAGACCACTCAGAAGAGATTAGGTAAGCTTTCTGTAAAAAATTACTTTTGAGTTTACAAGAAAAAGGGAAAATTTTGTTCTTCCCCTTGAATCTGGCTGAAAATCGGGGGCTTTCTCAAGTAGTTTTGACACACAAGATCATTTCTCATTAAAAGACGAAAAGGCATGTGAAATCTGAGTTTCCACGAATCATTCAGCAGTAGAACCTGGGAGATTCGGCACAGAGGAGTTTTGTTGGATTCAACTTTATAGGGTAAAAAAAACACAAATACTCCTCCTCTGAGGGGAGGGGGCGGTGCCTAGGCAATGCACCAATCACAACGCGCCCTGGTCTATATAAGGCCCTGAGGCCCTGTGACGGTTTATGCATTTCGCTGGTTTTCACATCCTACTTACCTGTGGTGTTATGTCTGAAACTGCTCCTGCGGCTCCCTCTGGTCTTGCTCTGTCTGCTATGGAGGAACCTCCAGCCAAGAAGCGTGGGAGGAAGTCGATTGGCTTGGTCAGTTTAAATCGCAAGGCCTCGATCCCTTCTGTGACCAAGTTAATCACTGAGGCTCTCGCGTTGTGTCAAGAGCGAGCAGGCATGTCTCTGCCTGCGGTCAAGAAGGCGCTGTTAGCAGCTGGCTATGACGTGGAAAGAAACAACGGTCGCATTAAACTGACTCTCAAGAGCTTGGTGAGCAAGGGCGTCGTGGTGCAGACCAGAGGTACCGGTGCTTCTGGCTCGTTCAAGCTCAGTAAGAAAATTGCTCCTGAACCTACCAAGGGCAAAGTCAAAAGAAGCTCTTCTGTGAATACTAAGAAGTCTGCTTTATCTAAAGACTCGAAGTTGCCCAAGGGCTCCAAGAACAAGAAAGGCAAGAAGCCGAGGGCAGCAGCTTCCCCGAAAGCTGTTAAAAGTGAGAGGAAGGCTAAAGGAGCCAAGGGCAAGCAACAGTTGAAGAGCCCAGCCAAGGCAAGGGCAGGGAAGCCTAAGGCTGGGAAAACAAAGTTGACCCAGCACAAAACGAATGTGAGAAAGGCAATGTCTAAGAAGTAACCACTTTCCTGAGGTGAATTTCCGAAGAACCCAAAGGCTCTTTTAAGAGCCACCCAAATAACCTGAAATGGCTTAACACTGGAAACTTGGAGAAGTTTCTGCAACAGTATTAACCTAACTCTGGTAACAAGCAAAATTGAAAATGGGTAGGATATTACCTTGTCAGACTTAAGATCCAGAAACTAAAATGTCTTGAGTGTTAATCCAAAAAGCTCGTTTGCGCATTAGAAATAGAGCTTGTTATATAAAAAAGTAAGTTTTGGAAGTGCCAGCGTCGAGGAAACTGGAGATCAACTTGGTTCCCAGGCATCCCAAATCTGGTTTGCTAGTTTATTACACTGAGTTCCACCATTTTAGTCTGCTGGTTTTTGTGGCATTCTGACAAGGATTTTTTAACTTGGTGCTCACAGGGGTCAAATAATGACTGAAGGAGTCCCAGAATATGGATAAGGGGAATATATGCATATATATAGAAATAAGTGTATATATACACTTACCTCTATATATTTACCTCTTTTAATTAACCTATAGCTGAAATTTAGAATTTCCTTCCATTGAATGTGACTGATATGTCACAACTATTTTTCAGGACTATATTTGCAAGATATCTTGAAGTTGCATTTATCTTTATTTCCAAAGTACTATTGTTATTAGATATTTGATATATGAACAAAGATGTACATATATCATTTTTCAATGGTTTGGCAATTATTTTAATAGCAGTAGTCTAATAAAAGATTATAATTCTATGTATTATTTTATGTTTTATTATGAAAAGAGCCTATAGGCTTTGTTAGACTGCCAGAGCACTCCATAGGCTGGAAAATGTTAACCGAAAACCAGTGTGGATGTGTTGGAGGCTGCACTTTTAGGGTCAGAATTCTTCCTTCCTAAATCATCAAATATTGTACTAGGAAACTGAGTCTGAGCTAAGGTACCTTTCTCTTTAAATATAATGATTTCAGTTTTCTCTTAATTTGTGATTTAGCATTTTTAATCATAAATATTAGATCTATTTGGGGTTATAGTATGTGGGGCAACTTTCAACCAAGTCCATTGCATTATTTCACATGGGAGTACAAGCAGGTTCTCCAAATGGTTCAATGTGACCTTGTCTTTCTGTACTCATTTGTGTCCTAAAATAAAAAACAACTGAACACCATGATTTAAATTTGTATAAACAGAACCAACTACAGCTTGCTCCTTGCTTGGATATAATAGACATTGTTTCCTATGAATTTGGTGTTGATGAGGATGGTACAAGAATAGCTTCACTTGTCTATGGCATGGTATTCAGCCTTTTGTCTAACCGCTGTGCCCAGGAGTGGGCTAAACCCCACTTTTATCATTGATCACGAGGATGAATGGCCCCACCCAGCAGTTGGTTGGTCTTTCTCTAACTAGACCTTGTGTGCCTTTGCTCTTCCGGCGCTCCAACGCCTGGCATGTATCGGATTAAAAATAAAGTTAACCAACCAGCTGTAGTTCTTTCTCCACTTCTGGGGAAAGCTATTAGACTACTTTGTTTGGGCCAATAGGATAATGACTCTAAAACCCAATCCTCCTGGAAAGTGCTGTTTTCTGCCTCATTGAGTGCTTGTCCTTAAAGAGGCTTCATTTACAAAGCCTTATCTTGCCTGAACCAAATAGTGAGAAACTTTGGGCAGTGTATGACTCCAGCCACTTGGTTAAGTCTAGATGACTATTCTTGGAATGTTATGTTTTATGGATCCACTTATATTGGCATTTGTTCGCATCTGCTTACTTGTAAGACCTACTTTCGTTTCTTTGAGACAAAAACAAATCACTCACCATAATGTCAATAAACAGCTACTGTACGAAGAAAGCCAATATTGTGCTTGCCAGAGTAATGTAGACTGCTAACGGATAACGGATACAGGTACCCAGGTTTACACGTTTCTATGTTAAGCGTTTCAGCTCTTTAAAGGACTGCGTGAGCGGCCCTGAAAAGGACCTTTCTGTTGTTTCGAGATGCCATGTACTCTTTCAACCACCGAAGCCATAGAGAGTGCGTCCTTGTCGCTTCAGGGCATAAACTACGTCCATGGCTGTGACAGTTTTGCGCTTAGCATGCTCCGTATAAGTGACGGCATCCCGTATCACGTTTTCCAGGAACACCTTGAGCACACCACGAGTCTCCTCGTAGATCAAACCGGAGATGCGCTTGACTCCGCCACGGCGGGCCAGGCGCCGGATGGCGGGCTTGGTGATGCCCTGGATGTTGTCGCGCAGCACCTTGCGGTGGCGCTTGGCACCCCCCTTCCCTAAGCCCTTCCCACCCTTGCCACGACCAGACATGGTTTCTGTGGCATTAGGAAGCCAAACTTGACGCAGTCCCTAAAATACCACTTTGGCGGACCTGATTGAAAACAGATGTTTGCGGAAATTTTTTTTTTTTTCTCCCCCAAATTAAGTCATCAAGGGGGTGCAACGAGTAGAATATTTCGTTACAATTTCAATGTTTTGATTGGTCAGTGAAATCTCGCTATTTGTGAAATGGGCAAGTACAGATTTCGTTGGGTTGAAAAACTTTCGTTTCTCTTTTGTTTTGCATTTGTCTGGTCCCCGAGCTTCTGCAAGTTGAAAATACTGTATTCTTATCAGCTTAATGACGCTGAGCACAGAGTCCCATTCAATGTTTCTCTTTATGTCCACTTAGTAACTGATAAATTAGGTACTAGTTCCTTGAGAAAAGTATAAATAATTCTAAAGAAGGGCGGATTTATAGGTCAAGGAACTTTCCCTCCCAGTTCTGAACCAGAAAACCTTTGGGGAGTGTATGACTCCAGCCTCTTGGTTAAGCCTAAATGACTGTACTTGGAATGTATTTCTATTTACACCGTTGCTCTTTGATAGCCTTCATTATGCTGGACAAAGTATAAGCCTGGCCATGAATCTCTGATTCTAAAGATCCTATGTTTTAAAAGACAAAATGATAGACAAGTGCAAATAAAAACCTTGTGCAAGTGCACACTTCTTCTCCATCTCTATCTCGACTCGATATTTATTGAGTGACTCCTTTTTCTGCAAAAGTTTATGAGAGGCAGGAAATATAAGTTAGGCTAGGAAAATTGTCCCTAGACCCTCTTCCTGGCCTGCTGCATCTGTCTGATGTGCCTTGCATTTCCAAACATTTCCCTTTCATCCTTTATTAATCCTCTTTCAACCTGCTCCAGTTTTGGAGACAAGAACATACATTTTATGAAGTTTGGGATTAGTTGAAGTGTAGGGCTAATACTTGATTAAGGTCATTACAAAGCCTGCAGGGTCCTCTCCTAAGAGGCCTTTGATAAGATTATCAGTGTTAACACAAGGCTAATCTTTCTTTCATGAAAAAGGTAGAATAGCAGAATTGGTTTTCAATGTGTTTTGAAGGCAGAGACTTTTCAATTCAAAATATTTCCTTCCTGCTACAGCTTTTGAAAACGTCCATGGTAAGAACTCTTGTTGTGGATACTTAGAATGAGACTGTGGCCTGTAAGAGGCAACATACAAGTATCATCTCAGACTTGCTCACATAAAAAGAGAAGAGACACAGGGAAGAAGAAAATGGCAAGAATGCTCTCAATGTCATATGATTTGTAATGCTTCTGAAATAATTAAGTGGTTACATTCTTCTGCCCCAAATTGAGAGATTTTAGATTTCTGACTTTCACTGCCCATGCCCCACAACAAACACACACCTTATAACTAAGGAGAAGCAAATGTCAAACATTATAGAGAAAAGTGCAAAGACAGATTATAGGTGAAACTCTGAAGTCTCAACATGCTTTTTAATGTGTGAAAATAAATAAAAATATGGTGTATACAATATGATAATTTCCTGCAAAAACACATGAACTACCTTGAAACACATTCCACCAAGTACCATCTTCATTTAAACCAGAAATCTAGAATGCCTTTTCTTTATTTTGCCTATCACATCATAAGTAAAACCTCATTCTTATTTTGACATTTGATTTATTCCTTTTTTATTCTTTATTCCTAATCCTTCCTTTTCTATTTTTTCAATGCCAGTGACTCAAAAATAAATGTCAGAAAATAAATAATTAAAGGGCATATTTATCCTTCCATTTTGGGAAGGATTACCAGAACATTACCAGATCAGGTGGTTTGGGAGAGGAGTGGCTCACCCCTAAATCTCTATGGCTTCCTATTCTCTTTTCCATTTCACCTTGAAAACCTCATTCATTCAACATGTTACATAGATCCTTCAGATAAAAACTCTGTAAACAAGTTGTGGCCAATAGGACACATCAGAAATTTAAAAAACCCAAATCAATGCTATTAATCAGAGGTCTTATAAAAATATGAAATGCCCAGGACCACCCTCCACAGACTAACTCTCTCAGAATATCAGAATTGAGAAATAGAATGTGACATACAGCACAACCTGTATATGGTAACTGTATAGTACACCTGTATATGGCACCTGTATATTCAATAATTATGATACTTAGCTAAGGTTGAGTACCACTAGCAGTTCAGCATATACCATTTCTTTTAAGCATATCCTTTGTCTTTGCCAGCTCTCTTTACTTCTGCTCTTTAATCTTCTAGAAAAATGTTCTTGCTTTTTCTTTTCAAACTCTTAATTACTAAAAGGTTTTTTTTTTTCACTTGTACTACATAGGCTTGCCATCCTTGCGTGGGCACTCTCTTACAGACACAATATATTTTGATCTATTAAAGAACAGATAATTTCTATGATTATCCTTTCTTAAACATCTGTTTCAAAATTTTTATAAACTGGTAGTACTTAAATTTGATTTTCAAAATTTTCTTAAATACTTAATTGAACAGAAAGCACAAAGAAAGTATTTTACTTTTTTTAATGATGAAATTGTAAACAAAAACTTACACACACACACACACCACCACCACCAACAACAACAACAACAACCAACATTAACATTACATTCATACTTTAAACAGAGTCCCTCATTCCCTAGTAAAACTCTTGGCAGTACTGACTGTCTTGTGGAAGTGTCGTTGTGATGACTCAGTTTAAGGAACAAACCTAGATTATTTCATTACCCCATAGACTAAAGTTAACTAGCAAGTCTTGTACTGAAATGTATATAAATATTGGTACTTAACTCCCAAAGAGGAGATTGAAGATTCTAAAATTCTTTTATTTATTTTAATTTTGTGTGTGTGTGTAGGAGTCTCACTCTGTTGCCCAGACTGGAGTGCAGTGGCCGCTCCCGGCCACCGCAGCCTCGACCTGCTGGGCTCTGGCGATCCTTCCACCTCAGCCTTCCAAGTATCTGGGAACTACAGGCACGCACTACCACGCTTG